CAAGTTGCTCGTCCGTCAGCTGGATTGTCTGTCCTTTCACCTGTTAACACTGGGGTAGTGTATAACTGTACCCCATGTTTTTTCCGTCCTGATCCCAAATGTCCAACCTAGTGACCGCACATGTAGTGGATGTTGGCTTCTCCGTGCCGAATGTATACATCAAAAATCCTTGTTGCTCTGCGCAGTTCAGCCCTAACTCGTTTGCGAGCGCAAGTGTAATAAAGGACTGATCGGCTCCCTTATCGAAGAGGATCTCTAAATCGCTCCATATGTTGCGTACGTCATCGCGTACCCTTGCTATGCCGGTTAGAAGTAGCACCTTACTGTTGTCTGTGTCCGCAACATTGTTTTGGAGTATTGTCTCCTGTGATGTTTCCTGGAATTCATCAGCGTTATCCTTGTTTTCAGTCTTTTCTACCTGAACCGGGTGTGCGGTAGCTTTTCCTCTGGATTTCTGAGCTTTTGTGGTTTTTCCCTGTGTGCCTGTTGCTGTACTTTGTGATCTGTTCTGGTTTGGTGGGATATTGCCTTTGCTATCGCTAGGTAGGGGCTACCTTGAGTTGGGTTACTCTGCCTTTTCGGGCAGAGGGTATGATGATGTTTCGACCCTTGACACATTCTGCATCCTTCGCTTAAACAATCTTTTACCCAGTGGCCTTCTTTCCCACAGTTGAGGCATCTGTTCTGCCTTTGCATCATATATCGCCGTGCCGCAATGGTAGCGAATTTCACACAGTCCGAAGACTTATGTTGTGGAGATGTACAAAACATACAGCCTTGTAATCTCTTATCAGCTGCATTTATCTTGTATGATGTTCGAGCGTCGCTTGTGCTGCGAAATTCCTTGCCGCGAGCGAGATCGCTGTGGGAAATGTTTTTGCTACGGTCGTAATTACTGGAGGGGGTTCTGTCAACCATAGACTGGATTTGCTCTTCTGTAGTGATGAGCTCATCCAGGCTGGTCAAGATATTCCTCATGACCCAATCACCCTCGTGTTTACTCAAGGGTAGTTGGCAGCTTCAGGATCCTTCGCTGTATTTCAGGCGAAAACTTTGCTAGGAGCTTTCGCGTAAGGAAGGAGCCGTTCAGAAAAACTCCTAAGTCCTCCAGTTGGGTGATTACTGGTAATATTTGTTCAAGCAGACGCCGCTGGGCCGAAATTGTTGCATTTTCCGCTTTCAAGGACTCGAGCCGCGATTGTAAATTATTTATGAGCGTGCACTGGTCCCCATATTTATCCTTCAAGAGTTGGATCGCATGATCGTAATTTGCCTCTGTTATCGGGAGTCGTCTTATTCACGTGCATTTCCTCGTAGAGCAGTGACCAAGTAGTTGAATTTGATCAGCTTGACTAAGGGGCTGACTATGCACATTGGCCTCATATAAGGTCCAGAAATTCGTGAATTCCTCAATTTTCCCCGTAAACGTGGTATCGGGATTGGAGGAAGGTGAGCTGTGGATGGGCAGGTAAACTCCGCAGGAGGATATTCACTTTCTGCACCTATTTTCCCTCTTTCTAGCTCGATCCCTAGACGTTGTGCGCGGTCCAAAACTGTGAGTGATTCTTCAATGTATTCCTGTGTCTGCGTCTCTTGCTCCGCTGGCAGCTCTTCGATGGTATCAAAGGCCGTGGAGAACTCATTCAACGTGCAACTTCTAATTTTATTCGATTTTGTACATGAAAGCAGATGCTCTTGCTCAGGGTTTGGAAAGGGTGACATGCACGAATCAGTCTGAGATGTATTATTTAGCCACCTACATGCTTACGAGCTCATGCTAACCATTGATACTGATAATTAATTTATTTAATATTTTGTAGTTTTCCACATCGAGGTTCTCTGCAACACTGCATTTGCTCCACCAAACTTAGCAATGACACTGCTTGTGGTGTTTGGTGCTCACCGACCCTGCACTACCACTTCTCTCCCCCTTCCATAGCGTTTTCTAATGTGATGAACGATTCCAGGTATCCAGGATGGCTCCAGTCCTCGGTAATCCTCAATATGAACAGTGTCGTTGACTTTAAAGTTGCGGCGTTCACTTCATTGAGACGAGTGAACTGAGATTCCATCTTGACGCACGCCTGCTCCATGGTGACGTTATTTGAGAACCGGCCAAGTCTTCGGTGTATAACAGACTGGCAACTTCGTCATTTGATGACCAAGGAAGACGAAATACCGTGCTACTAGCCGATGCGCCATCACTAATGGGCTTAGAATGGATCGTCCAACACGAGCCACTATTCCTGCGCCTAATAAGCGGATCATGTGCAATGTATCTTCAAGGACGCTCAGCACGAACTCTTTTGTCAGTAAGCAAAAGAGATGGAAGACAGCAGCACTTTTCACATCTCGACTGGAACGTTGCGCCGCAAAGTTGACCATACCCACACTCGAACCTGTGATATGTCTAATTCCAAAGACTTATTCGCCACCATATACAGCAATGCCGAAGACTTGGACCGACTTTGGTATAACGCCACCACAGAATCGTCGTCATCATCAGTCAAGGAGGGGAGTCGTAAACGAAGGGTCGGTGAGCCCCAAGCAGCACAAAAGTGGCTAGCTAGACATTTGATAGTGCGTTCAAAAGCACTCTTCGACAATGTGACACGGCTATCGAACCATGTAGAGAATTTGACTAGATAATATCAGAGATACTTACATGACTCTCGTAAATGTGTGTAGACTTCAGCTAAACGATAGACACCGTCCAAACATTCTCCGTGCATAAAGAGTCTTTTCCATGACCCCTACAACCAACATCTGCTCGCATGGACGTAAATCCCTGAACTTGAAAGTGACACCTTTTCACCACGTAGAAGGGTCAGGTTCAGATGAGGGAAACGGTAATGAGTAGGGGTTCATCATAACCTGAAGGAATCGCCGACAGGCCAGCTTTGGTTGGGATAGGCTGCATGAATCTTGGGGCCAATGCAGAATTAAGCAGCCAGAACTAGGATGAGGATCTTTTAATGCATGGGCGCTTGCTTCGGAAACATGTATTCAAGACCTGATGTTGCAAGTAGGAAGATCAATACGACTATCAAACTGAACGAGGGCAAGAAGGCATCGCTCGCTACGCGCCGTCTACTGAGTGGAAAAGAACTGTCCGTTGGAGCGTGCAAAGCAGAGGCGATCACACATTCACATAGCAGAAAAATTCAGCGGATGATGGGAAAAGGAATTGGAAACAGGCTGGGAAGAATGTTCCTACAAGTTTCGCACTTCTTGAAAAAAATCACTGCCTCCTCTTCTCACCATTAGAGGCAAAGCCTGCGATGCTTGTTTGTAGACGATAACATTCTGAGTAACTCGACGGCGAAGAAAAAAAAAGCAGAAAATTATGACAACCGCCCTAGATAGAACACGGTTCCGATCCCAGTTCGTACGTTAATATTCAACTACGTCTCTAACACCACGTCATCGTCCGCACAGCTGATTCCCCGATAAGATCCCTACAACCGTACAAGTGACGATTTTCATGTCTTTTTGTCCTGCAGCTTCGTACTGGAAGGCGGGCCTTGAAGGCGGAATCTGCTCCCAACTCCCCTCCCCCCACCTCCAAGCCGGTCACATACTACCAGCTCCGCGACGGTTGACCTGTAGAGAATAGAGCATTGAAACTTCGAGCGAAGACGGCTTCACGCCCTGTAAAAAGTAGTTCACTAATCCGTGGTCATTATTCGCACCGTCCCCCCCCCTCCCACTTTCCTCGGTTGCTTTTCTCAGTTCCGAATACTATGAATTCACAGGAAGTGAACTTCTTGTTGCCTACCGAGCTAATCCCGTCTATAGATGGATTCAGTTTCTCGCAAGGTATTCATTTCATGTCTATATCGTGATTTTTTTGGCGTAATAGGAAATGTCCAGATTGCAGTCAAGCTCGCCATGCAACGTCGTTGGATAATAACAGACAAACTTTAGGAACACATTAAAGAAATAGTGGTAGGAAGATGAAAAAACAAGCGAACATCACGGGAGGAGAAAGAAGGAAAAGTAGGCGAAAATTGCTGTGAGTTAGCATCCGTCCAGTCGATCTTTGCATAAGAGCACGATCAATCGCTTGAACGCGCTACCGAAGCGCCGCCGTCACGAAGTCTGAACGCCACCTTATCGTGTCTCGCTAAAGGTTTAACTCAAAGCACCCCGCGGCCAACTAATCAGAGAAACCCTTTACTGGATCGAGTCCGCAACCGCAGAGGTCCCACTCTTGTGATTCGAGAGCGCTTGATAAACGAAGTCAGAGTCAACATTAATAAACTGACTCCGCTTCGCATGTTTATCCGTCTCGGTTGATTTTCCCTATCAATCAACGCTGGCATTGATATATTTTTAACGTTCATTTCTTAGATAGATAGTACCTGATAGATTGACTATATTAATTATATAAGATTAGATGGATAGATTAGATAGATTAACTTCAAAAATAACTTGGGTGTCGGCCTCATGAGAATCAGCCGCAGCGAGCCAGCGATGGGTTCCAGGGAACTCACCTGAAATTTGCGAATCTCATCCAGATGCGCTCAGTCGAATGGTGTCTTATTCAGTGTTCTTGCGACACTTCCTATTGCCTTTTCTTGACTTCATTTACCACATGCTTCAACAATTCTAAGCTCCACAACCTGCGAAAGCTGGTCGTGGGCGCTGTCTTTAACTTGATACTGTTTCTTGGTTACCTCCTTTTCAAGAATGAATCGTTATGTTGGGAGGATGATGAAAGGTCTCCACGTGGCTCTGTAAGGCTTAGTAGTGTCCCGTCAGCTTTTTGTTGTCGAGAACTAGCTTATTTTCAGGTTAGCTGATTCTTTCAGTCGTTTCAGTGTTTCTCATTACGAGAATTAACCAAGCTCGGCACTATCAAGCCAATGGATGGCTGTCAGAACACCTGCTGACACAAACTACCACCAAATCTTACTTCCCCAGGGAAAAACAAGATGCACAGAATGCCGAAAGTACAGTGCTTCTGAAAAGATCTCCCAAGAAACGTCAGCAAGAGATGGTGAAGCCATCCACCACCGCTGAACACCACGAACCACCAGCACTCGCCTCACCTCAAGTAGGTGTGCAAGTTCGATTCACCAGCGTGCACTTTTGATAAGGGTGTACTCAATGCCATTAGACCTCAGCCGTCAAGTCGGGAAATGCTGCTACGGTCTAGGATCTTTTCTTGGCTCTCCCTCTTAAGAGAAGGTAAACGTCAGTCGTCTCGGATCTATGGTGCCTGTGAAGAAATTGAAACCAGCTCCGTGCAACCGTCCAAACGTCCAATTATTTCGTCATCTCGGCGGAATGAATTCCAAGTCTGCGCTCGACGAATGTCGAAGTGTCTGTGTTTGCCCGTTGAAAGCAAAAATTCTGTCGAATTTGCCTGTGAAAGGAGCGTGGCAGGGCCGTACCAATGAATAAGTACACAAAGATTTTTTGAGGATAGCGCTCCGACTCTTATAAAGCAAACGCCAATTGCAGCCTCATTATTTTTTTTTTTTTAACCCGTATGACGGTTGAGCCACATGGTTGAGGCAAATCAATTGTCCGTGTGAAATTTTACGCGTGTTCACAGCGTTTTCCTGGATAGTCATCTTCCATGCATCCGTCAGTTGCCTCGTCACGAGCTTTATTCCGTATGGTTCAGTGGCTCTAAAATTTTTTGCCAAGGCTGCTCATCTTAAGCCTCGAAATACTGCGGCTTGGACCTTTCAGTTCAGTTTTCAAGAATTTCTGAAGGTGGCCCCTTATATGGGTATTCTAAATAAATGTATTCTTAACATCGATCCCTCTTGTTTTTCATTAGAGAGCTCCCACAACATAATTTTCTCCGCATGTTCGCAGTGTTCAAGCTGCTAATGCCTTGCTGTACTGCTTTTCAAGTTCTTCGGGCACGCCTATCCGCCTTCGGAATGTTTCGCCTCTACATCGCTACCCTTTTGAAATCTGCCGCTGCATCGTTTCCGTTTTAAAATCCGAATAACGTTGTGAGAGCTACTAAATCCCTGAAGCGGATATTCCCTGAAACGAGTGACAACTACGGTCCGCCTTGTCTCGTTCCTAACGATTTTGCTCAGTACTACGATTACTCTAGAAACTGACAATTTTCTACAACCTTTCCTGATAAAAAATCTAGGCACCTTTATCAGTGACCACTGACGGGGGCCATATCATGCGGTTATCGGACTAAAGCAAAATGTTCTCTTCATCAGTAGCGTGTTCGTTGCCCTTGGAGATTTTTTAGTTGCACAATGATTGCCTAAGGCATTAATATTGCAGGATTCTGAGTAAATATCACCCAATCCTCGCCGATGTCATCTTCCGCTCTCGAGGCATTTCTGATTAGGTTTTTCAAGGTTCGTTGTGACCGACGTCGCATTTGCTTGCTGAGAGAACATCTTACAGTCGGTTATCGACTGAAGTCAGTCGTGCGCTGGATTTTAGGCGATGCCAGTTGCCATCCATCGAGGCAATTCAAGGACGTGGCCCGACTATACTCACTGACAATGTAGTATTTAATGGAGGTATAGCATTTGCCTGTAGAGGCGCGGAGGGGCAACTCAAGATTGAAAGGCTCGACTACAGTTGTCCGGAGGTGACTGATTTCTCCGAAAACCACA